CGACTCACTAAATCCGCACATTTTATTCCAGTGAGAGAGAAGTATTCTTTGAGTCGTTTAGCTGAATTGTTCATCTCGAAGGTAGTGAAGTACCATGGTGTTCCGGTGAGTATTGTCTCGGATCGTGATCCACGGTTCAAGTCTAAGTTTTGGGTAGCTTTCCAGGAAGCTTTGGGTACGAGACTACTCTACAGTACGGCGTATCATCCTCAGACAGATGGGCAATCTGAGAGGACTATTCAGACGTTGGAGGATATGCTGCGAACTTCGGTGTTGCAATTTGGTGATGCTTGGCACCAGCGATTGGATTTGATGGAATTCGCCTATAATAATAGTTTTCATTCGAGTATTGGCATGGCGCCGTTTGAGGCATTGTATGGTAGAGCTTGTCGCACACCGTTGTGTTGGTCAGAAGTCGGAGAAAGAGTTTTAGTGGGTCCAGAGATTGTTGAGGAAACTACGCAGAACGTCCAGGTAATCAAGACTAATCTGAAAGCAGCACAAGACAGACAAAAGAGTTTAGCGGATCGGCATGCTACGGACAGGGTGTACGAGGTCGGAGATTGGGTATTTTTGAAGCTTTCGCCGTGGAAAGGTGTAGTGAGATTCGGGAAGAAAGGCAAATTGAGTCCACGGTACATTGGACCATACATGGTCACGGAGCGAGTTGGTGAGGTAGCTTATAGGTTGGAGTTACCTCCGGAGCTAGCCAGAGTGCATAACGTTTTCCACGTGTCTATGCTCCGACATTATGTTGCTGATCCATCTCATGTGATACCTCCTCAACCGTTAGAAATTAATCCAGATTTGACGTATGACGAAGAACCAGTGACGATCATCGATTGGAAAGAAAAGGTTCTGAGGAACAAGACGGTGAATTTGGTTAAAGTTTTGTGGAGGAATCATTCAGTCAAGGAAGCGACGTGGGAGACAGAAGATCGGATGAGGAATTTGTATCCTAGATTGTTCTTTGGCTACTAGGGGGTTTTCGGTTGTTTTGAATTTCGGGACGAAATTCTAATAAGGTGGGTAGGTTGTGACATCCCGTCCTGGAAGTTTCGAACCGTACATGTAAATTTACCGTTCTACCCCTAGATTGTCTTATTATGTTTTCGGTGTTTTGTGTGGTGTGGACATGTGTTGGGTCACACACACACATCCACACTTGCTTTCTCTCCCTCTCCCTCTGACTTTTCTCTCTCTCTCCCCCGAGTCCTTATTCTTCTTCTTCTTCCTCTCCCTTAAACTGGTACGGACACACACACATCCACCATTTTTTCACACAGATCGAGGAAACCAAGGGTGTAGTTGTGATCGTGAGGTCGAGGGGAGCACGGTGGTACCATTTTCAGGTAGGGAAACCACCATTTTCACTTTGATTCGAGGTTTTCCGTTTTGAACACTGTTCATGCAAACTTAATCTAGCTTGTTTTTGGACTTTTGAAGCTTGTAGTTGTGTTTGTGAGGTTCCCAGGAGCTTGGGAGTACTTCGTTGGACAAATTTGGACGTCGGGAAAGCTTGGTTCGAAGTTGGCCGAGTTTTGGTATTTTCTCGTAGTTTTAGGCCTTAAAACTTGTAGGATCGTGTTCTACTAGTCCTAAGGGTTGAAATGGTGCAAAAATCTTGAAAAACGGTTGAAAAACGAGTGAGATATGGCAAGTTGCAGGTTTCCGGCGACGGCGCCGGCGAGGGGGGATGGCCGGAGAAGACAGGGGAATATTCCGTTGGGGTTTAACGGAATATTCCTAACGGACGTTGACGGCGTCAGTTAGGGTTAACGGAATATTCCGTCAGTTCCAGGGAATATTCCTGACGGCGTCACTTGACGCCGTCAGCGTGCATGGCACGTGGCCGCGTGTGGGGGCGCGTGGATCCGTGTCTGTGCTGGCGCGTGGGGGCGCGTGCGGGGTCCAAAAATTATTTTAAAAATATGGTTGTGATCGTGAGGTTGTGTAGATCACGTTGGTATATTCAATTGTCCATTTTGAGCAATGTATGAGAAGTTATTTTGAACGGACGGTTATGTGCTTTAAAGTTAACATTTTTATAGTTAATTCGCATATAGGTGACACGTATCCCGAGGACGAGCGTGCACATTCGAGGCAGGGGGGCTACGACCTTTCTACATACCAGTGAGTGGGCTTTTGTTTTCCGTATATACCTATATACATGTTATTTCCCAGAAATTAGTATAAATGCTTCGTTTTACGCCATTATTTTTATACAATTGATGGTTATGCATGATTAGTGGCATATACGTTTAAGTACATATCCAATTGTGATTGCATTATATATGTTGGTGCTGTGGAGGCGTAGGTAAGTAGCCAGGTAAGCATTATTTAACGATTGCATTAAATAACGGTTAGAGATGCTTAGAGAGCTCATAACCTGCACCCCCGGTGTTAGTGCTCCCGCCCAGAGTAGGGCACAGTCCTTCACGTGTTGTTCACCTCCCGCACCACATGCTCAGCTTGAATCCAAGTTAGGTGCACAGTCCTGTCGTACAGACCACTATAGGTGGTTCCGACTCGTAGGTGACCCGCGATTATTCGCACAGCCTTCACGTGATCGTAGCACTAGAGCGTTTATATGTTTTACACCTAGGCCTGTCGTACAGACCACTTTAGGTGGTTCCGACTCGTGGGCAGGTTAGTTATGGAATTTGAGATTTGAGCTCTAGATTCAGCCGTACAGGTCACTTAGGGGACTCCGGCTGCCAGATTATTATAATATCGATGTGATGTACATACCTGAGCACTTGCATGTTATATTGAGGCTTTGAGCATGTTGGCATACCTTGAGCATACTTGGCATATTTATACCTACGTATATATGTTTATTTTCTGGGAAGTATACAGGTTTTACGGCGAGGGGTTAGAATGTATTTTATGAAATGGCTTTCAAAGAATTTGTTTTTGCCCACTCACGCTTTTGTTTTTGCGCCCCTCCAGGTTCTAGTAGCTTAGCGGGTTTGGTGGTTTCCCCGGAGGACGTCCCGGCATTCTGACAGATACTCACCTACGTAGGGTCACCTTTGGGTGTACTTTTGTTGTATTGTTTCTTTTGGACTGCTGTAGGCCTTATGCTCTGAATTCAGTGTCTTAATTACGCTAGCACATATTCTATCACTCTATAATTGCTAGTTTTTAAATTATTCGTACTTTTATATTACTGTTTTTAGCTTCCGCACTGTGCACATGGCTACGTCACTTCCACGTGACGGCCAGCATGCCCTGATCTCGGTCGGGGTGTGTCACAGTCACTTTGGCCGAGTGGTTAAGGAGACGTGTGATGGTGGTGAATCTGATTTAATGCTGTTTAGTACTACGATCTAGTAGTATTCCCCTTCACCTGTAAATGAGAGGTCTTATGTTTGATTCTCGCCAAAGACAAAGTTGAATCACATTATTATGACAAGCCCATTATAAGGCTTAGCCCACTCCCACACCCCCTTAGACCATCTCCAACCTTTGGAGTAAAACCTAAAATTTTTAGCCCACAAAATTTAAGTTTTAACTCAGAAACAGTTTTTTTGCCCTAACTCTTCTGTCCTAAAATTTTAGCCTCAGATTATTAAAGAATGAATTTAAGCTATTTTTTTTAAATTAAAAAAAATAAATTAGCTTTTAAAAAAAATATATGTTTACTATCATAAATTAATTTTATGAACATTTTAACCTAAATATATTTAAATTTTGATAAATATTAAAAAATCACTAAACCGACACATGAAACTCATGAAACGCTATGGAAAAATATGAAACACATGATATAGATGTATAAACACAAAACACATGAACAAACACATGGTTTTGGGAAATGGTAGAAAGAAAAATTAGAAGGATTGTAGGAGAAAAATGAATTTTGCATGAATGTTTGAACAAATACATAAGTATTTATAGAATTTTTTGGTGAATTTTGAGTTAAATTATTTTTCTTAATTATTTTAGTAGTTAAATATTTTTTCTCACCATTAGATTTGATCATATTCGATCTCAGTAATTGGATTAAATAAATTTCTTAATATAAACTAAAAACTTAAAACAAATTTGAACCTTCCAAAGCCATTGGATGAGAAAAAGAGTCGTTGGGCTCTGATGGGTGCCAGACAAGTGGCCGACATAACCCACATGGGTGGGTGGGGTCGCCAGCTTGCAGGCCTAGCGCATTGGCATGTGTTTGCGCGTGATTTTGGGCAAGTGAAGTGCACATGCTGGTTTTCCACTCGCATAAGTGGGCCAATCCACTAACCCAAACCTATTCTTTGGCTGGAATTTGCCCAATTTTGAAGTTTCAACACATAACCTAATTTTTAGGTCAAGGGTTAAAGTGTTTTGGGGGAAACCCAAATTTTGAGACTTACACCAAGAGTTGGAATTGATCTTAGCGTAGATACTATCGTTTGTTCTAAAAAATAAATAAATTGTCACATCCATGCTTGTGGTGCTTTGTCAGGATCATGTAAATTGGAACAACCATTATTTGTAGGGAGCATACGTTACATTCGCAATGTGGCCATACAAAGCTTTTTTAATCATTGTCCAAAAACTTAATAAGAAGTCCCTTAGTGCTATGGTATAGTATTTCTTTTCATTGAGAGGTCTTATGTTCAATTCTCGTCAAAAGTGAATTTGAACCACATTATTGCTAGCTCATTGTGAAGCTAAACGCCCCCTCTAATGTAGATAATATCGTTTTTCAAAAAAAACTTAACAAGAAACTAAGAGTAAAAAGAACCAATTATTTCATGACAGGATAATGAGACAATGTTGCCAATGCCAAAACCAGGAACATCGTTTATGTTCAGAGTTCAATTTCTCTGCCAGGTAAATTGATGAATTAAAAAAAGTTATCCTTACAATAGTACAGTACAAGTTCAATAATCATAATAAATAATTTAAAAACTTTCACAAAAAGTTCCTAGTATTGTTAACTTTAACGAAAAACCATATTTTTACACTAAAAAGTCAATTCTGGTACTATTCACTTTACCCTTTATTTTGTCTTTATCGTTAAAACTCAAAGTTTTCAATCCATTTTTATTAGTTTTTCTCAATTTCAGCGACTTTTCATCATCCTAATCATAATCAATCCTTGGGATAGAAGCACACATAGATTTCTAAGTCAGGCTCCTTCAGAGAATGGACAGAAACGTACTTTGGCCTACCATGATATTATCTTTAGAACCCGTACGAACAAAGATTCGGTCAACAGGAGATAGCTCAAAGCTCTCTGCAGGAACATCTGCTCCTAACTGCCGAAGAAACAAAAGCAAAAATGATCACACATTACAAGACAATGAATAACAAAAGTAGGAAATTCAGACAACAAGAAAAGACTACCTTACCTGTGCAAAAATCACAGCCAAGCAAACTTGGCGAATAAGAGTAGACTTTCCACCCATGTTAAAACCAGTGAGAAGGATAAAGCTTGCATGGCCAGAACCTCCATTGGAAATGCCGTTGGATACAAATGTACCCTTTCCTAAAGAATCACTTCTAAGAACAGGATGGCCCAAACTTTTTGCAGAAAAACGAGGTACTTCATCAGTACATGATGAACTCATGACAACTGGCTGACAAGAGGGTCCTTCAAAATAATCACTTGCAATTGCTAGACCGATTAAAACATCTGTTTCTGCATGTGGGGTCAATATCAGCAGTGAACATAATATAGACACTAATTACTAGACTCATGGACTTGTTTCCAGAAATACATTTTTAGAATTTGTTTAACCAAAATGCTTCGAAATTAACTATAGTTAAATTTGTTTAAAATGGACCCATATTTGTTACAATCACATAGCTACATCGTTCGGGGAATCAATCACCTAGCAGTACTCTTATGTGTGTGTGTGTGTGGGTGTGTGTGATTCCTCTTATATTGCACACATAGCAGAATGCACTCACTAAAAAAAAGGCGAATGACAAACTATGCTCCAGACTCCAGTCAATCCACCAAAGTTTGACCAAAATCAATCAAAACAAAGCAGCCAATGCAAAGGGGAAAAGATTGCACACCTGCAGTCAAAGAGACCAATTGTCTCCATTTAAGACGATGCTCGCAGAAACGTCCAATTAACCTCTGCAAAATGCTTTTTAGTGAGGACTCCTTATCAGTTTCAGCTTGCGAGAGCTCTGTCAAGGACTTCTTAATATCTGGGGTCCAGTACCTCGAGAAACCCTGCATGTTAAACACAAGGAAGGCATGATCGTATCAATATAAAACCGTCAAAGTTACTTAATTCACCATTCCAAAGATTTTTCTAATTACCTTTTTGGACGAATGTAACTCATAATCTGGAGGAATACAACTGCACAGACTTTCTGGCATTTCCAATAGGTAAGAATCTTTTCCGATTGTGACATAAGTGATCTGCAACAGACCAACAGAAGACCGAGTTACAAGATATCATAACATTTCTACTTAAAAGTACACTACTCGGAAATCAAAATGCCAATTTGTCTTCCATAGAAGTTCTTACCGATTTATCTCCCAGTAACTTTCTCTGTTCTTGAAGGTGTTTTGTTAAATGAGATTCTATCTCCTTTACTTTTTCACAAGCAGAGTCGTACTCAATATCGACTCCTTCATGAGGTATTATACGACCTGAATTACTGGCTTCTACCCAATCAAAGGCATCCTTGAAATGTTTTAGAACTGAGTTGACATCAGGAAAACCTTTACCTGTAAAACAATGAACAATAAGATGCCAAGATTTCTTTAACAATGAACGATGCATGCATGTACCAAAACAATGAACCTACACGAAAACTTTCTTATAGCAAGATATAAGATGAGAAATTATATCTTTTGAAATAATACAACTATAAACACAAAAAGAAAACTATATCTTTAAAAATAATACAAATATAAATGCAAAAAGCAAACAATACCCAGTGTCAGCAGATGATGAAGTTGTGCAGATTCAGCATTTTCCAAGATAACTTTAAGAGAACAACATGTTTGAGCCATGAGTTCACAACCACGTAAAGCTGAAATAAACTCCTGAAGCTGTTTTTTTTGCAGCATCCTCGTATAAAACCACTTTCTTAGCATTCCTTCCGCAAGCATGACTGCATCCAGTCACATTCGGTTACTGTAAATCATTCTTTGGGAGCATCAGTAAGATCTCCATAAGCATAAAATCAACTGTTATTCCTAGTTTTACCTACTAGAGAAGACACGCACAAGCAACAGCTCCATGTCCGGAAGCCTTGAAATTACTTTACGAAATTCAAGTGCATGATGAAGATTAACTCCCTAGAAAGAAGCATATATAACATTTGTATATTAGAAAGGCCAAGTGCTTGGATATCCAGTTCAAGCCATCTAGATACTGTACACTAAGATTCAGTGTTCAAGTGAAAAAATAAGAACCAGAAGTTAAATGTTAAAATAATATGTATGGAGTACCTGAAGACTTGCAACAGCATCCTGGCGTTGCTTTATTAACTCTACATGATAGAGAGGTCTTGCAAGCCATGTTCTAAGCAATCTCTTCCCAAATCCAGTAACACAGTGGTTCAATTGTGCATACAATGTCCTTCACAGAGCAATACATTATCTAAGAATTTGGATTGGAATAAAAACAAACCAGAAAAGCTTAAGACAATATGAAAGGTTTACCCTGAAGAGTCTCCATTTCTGTTGTTCTCAAAAATCTCAAGGTTCTCTAGGGCAGCTGAGTGAAGAACCATGTATGGTTTTGTTATGATATCACCAGAACTTGGAAGTAACTCAAATTTTGCAAATCTGAGTATTGTCTCATCCAGGAAGGCCTGCTTTAAATAGAAAAGAGCACCTCCAAGAGCTGAAAGTGCCCAGATGCCATTCTCACCTGCTCTCACCATCTCTGACAACACATCTGGCAAGCAGCCATAGCCATCTTCTTCTAAATGAGAATCACTGCCATGAAAACCGGCTTTCTTTGGAGAACCAGAAACCAATTGATCATCTGCACGCCTGTATATACTTCTAACTTCCTGAACAGTTCTCTCAGCATCCAAGAATTCCAATACTGGGACTAACTCATTGACTAGAGGACTTCTTGTATGCCTAATCAGCACTTTCTCTGTTTCAGGACTAAGTAGATTTGCAGGTTTTACAATTTCAACAGGCCTCATCTCAGACAAGAGACAAGACAAGGCACTGCACTCTAGATCATCTCCAAACTGGTATTGGGAAAGAAATACTAGTAAAAAACACAATCATACATAACAAGCAATTCACTAAAACGACCTTATGACACATCTATATCAGCATCTTATGAAATGGTAATTAGGAGTAACAATGTCACAACTTGCCCCAGTGATTATATACGTCCTCAGATAGCTAAAATATAATGGAAATGCAATCGCATTTTGTTGTTCATCTTCTGTACCATAGTTGATGGTTTAGCAATCGCATAACACACAGAGCGAATGGATGGAGCTCGATGATGCTTTGTGAAACCTCCTCCAATTTCCCTTAAACTAAGCCCATGAACTTGATCAGCCTGCATGTAAGGCCAACGCAGGTGAGCTGGCAGGGGCTTAACTCTCTTATTTTCCTTATTCCTATCACCTGCGAGAAAAAAGAAATGAAAATTGCAGAAGTAAGTAACATACGAAGAAACCTAATGTCTGGAATTTGGAAAGTTACAAGGTAGTGAAAAAGAAAATGTCATGAAGCAGCCTACAAATTTATCTACCTAAGTGAGGGTTCTACCGTGGTAAAAGACCCAAAAAAGTATTTGAGCCAAACCAAAGCACTTACATGCATAGGATAACGAAGCAGCATATTATTAGGTATGATGTACATTCCTATGAGCAGGAAAGACAGAACTTTCAAAGATGCAATAGGTTAAGAGGGGTCTTATAGGTGTTACACAAACATAACACGTTAGATAACTGTTATGTCCCAGGCAGTCATAGAAAAGGTACAGCAGAAATCTCTATCAAAGTTGTCATGTTTATCTACAGCAGAGTAGTTGAATGCTTATATTTCTTAAAAGGGCATCGTGAGGAAGGATATTTCCCACTGTAAATCAAGACAATTTACAAATGACCAAAGATTTGTACAGCAGAGATTTCATCATCTAAACAATCATACTGTCATAATTATGCATTACTCATCTTTTCAAGTAATTTATTAGTAATACAGAAGATTTCAAGGAAGAAATGGTTTTATTCCAAGTACACTTTTTTCCAATATATCCACAAGCAGAAAAAACACCAATCGAGAATCAGAGATATGTAAATATATGAAACGTAAAATATCACATACTATCCAGAACTGAAGCGAGAAGGAACCAGTTCCCAGCAATGTAGGGACATCAGCTGCATTCAGAGTACTTCTTCCAACCTTGCCATGTAAAGGAGTGGCTACACTCAGTAGCAGTTGCCTTAGAAGCTTGACCAAGTGATCTCTCTCTATATGAGGATACCTATACATCATACAGAAGCTGATCACTAAAAACCCAGCATAGGAAATAAAATGACTAGGCCAACCTATACAGTATATGATCAAATGAAATCTGCCTAAAATATCAGCAAAATTCTTCAACGGTCAACGGTGAAGGCATAATACCTAGTCAGTGTGGAACGAAATGAAGCACCATATAACACCTAGAGAAATTTCTTTTTGTTTTCTTAGTAAATTATTAAGTAGACCACCAGCCTCGACAACATGACCTTCATCGTTGTTCCCAAGGGGAGGATGTTGCTCCAGTATGAACCAAACATAGGGTTCGAATGGGAAATAACCTCTCTACAAACCCAACTGTTGTCAAGCCAGCCTGCTGCTATAACTTGGATGAGCTCAAACAAGCAGTAAATGGGACTCGTTCATTTAAATATGTAATTGAAAACAAGTAGCAGAGAGACAGTAGCCAAACAAATTGAGAAACGCACATTGCATCGAGATTTTGTGTTCATGAGTTCACACGCTTATATCATTATTCGTACTAATCGTCAGGCATTTAGTTGAAACAGCATATGAATAAACGTGTGCATTGTAGAAACCTCTGGATTTGGTTCAACAAAGTAAAAAAGAGAGGCAGAGAAGTTGACTGCAACTGAAGAGGCTGCCCAACCCATTTACCGGAAACCTGAAACACAGGAATAAAATTTCAAAACTTGACTCAGATGTGCCTGAAAATCATGTGCTTCCGATTGTCTATTAATCATTAAAGCTTAATTACAGATTCCAAAATAATTGAAACCGTTCAATCTCTTAATCTTCATTTGAAGATCATTTCAACAAAAAAATCATTCCTATCGGACATCGTTTAGTTATCTAAATATGTTAAATAAATCAACGGTTCATCATAAATATGCTACTTAGTATCTACATAGTCGAATATTTGAATGACCAAACGATGTTCGTTTTGAATGATTTTTTTTAAATTCATCTTCAAAATAAGATTAAAAATTTAAATAGTTCCGCTTATAAAATATTTACTGGAAACATATGTTATACCTACTTAATACCTATTAAGATTTAGACGTGTGAACAACGAGCGATAACAAATCTCATGTATGCGCATTGTATTTGTAATTTACGAAACATAAACGAAGGAAAAAAATCCTAATGCATCAATATCAAAATACAAACCAAGTAGTACAATTTCAGCTAATCAGACTCCCAATACAGTTCTGCAACGATGGCATGCCATGTCGAATAATCTTATCTACTCAAGCTAAGCTCAAAACAGTCCGAGCTACAACAAAAGAGTAAATGAAACCAAGGTTCAGCAAGGTAAATGTAGACAAATCTTGGCAGATGGCGCTGCTACGGTTGATGAAGCAACCAATGATGTACTCCCAAGAATAGCTCGAAACCACCTTCAATAGAAACATGTTATTCCCGAGTTGAGTGGCTTCGCACTCACTGATCTTTCAAATGGCATCAATGAATCGGATGTCAAAAGAAATGGGATTGATCTGCCACACATTTATGTTTGCGTATTCCTCTAAACATTGTTTCAGTTGGGCTTCACTATATCCCTGTTCCAAAGCAAACATTCCATCATGGCTTGAGACAAAATAGATAGACGTTCGAACATGATTATCACGAATTTTCATTTTTGCTATATATTTGAATTTCTACTACTAAAAATTATATAATTATATTTATCACTTTCAAGTTTTGTACTAGTTTGACATGAAAAGCAGTGCAGTTGGATTTTTAGCATTAGATCCACTTATATAGGTTGGCATTCAATTATTTATCTGAACATCGATCACAAGATGCTTCAAGTTGAGTTGCAAAAACTAACCTTCCTAGAAATCAGATTTAGAGCATGTGCATAGCTCACATCCTGCTTGCCCGTTGTCTCAGACTCATCTCGCAAAATTGAATAGATATCTCCAATGGGATCCAGACCAGATTTCTGGCGATCATCTGAGTACAAAGAGAACTTTGACATATGCATCAGCCTTAATGCCTCATCCACATCAGATTGAGCCACAGTTTCAGAATGTCGGAGTCTTGCTATGGCCTGTAAGTGAAAGAAGTTAGTTTGTCTGTTGTGTGATCAACGCACCCTGTAAAGTATAAACATTATTGCTTCCTTCTCCAGATGAGCATTTTCGAGCAACCCATCCAACAAACCAAGAAAATCTATTTATCTATAATACCCAAAAAAGCATACTAGATTTCCATGCTAGATAATTCTTCCTCTACTTATGGACACAGTTTCTTGAGCAACCAATCAAATGGGTAAAAAGATGCTACAAACAATACTCCTACTGTCCTACATATTACCTTTTTACAGTTCCAACCTAAACATCTGACCCACTCCATACGCAGAAAGGTTCCGCTTAAATACACACCATTTAGGTCGTAACACTCTTAAATTGGGTGGCTTCCGCCTGATGAAGATGGCAGAACCCAAACCCTATGCCTATGTAGATGGCTAGAAACCATCAATTTTGCCACCTCAGTCAACTTTGATGCTCTGTATATATTGTTGTATCATTTCTTGCCATCTCATTCTATTGTGATACACAGTATATTTGCAGAACCACATTTATTTAAATTAAAAAAAATGAAAGGCAGGACTTACAGCTGATATTCGAAGAATGCTGAGCAGAGTTCTCACAGTTGTATAGGAATGGGGTGCATTCGATTTAGCTTCTTCTTGCCGAATGCTAGAGTAGGCACTAGCAATATACTCCTCAAGTTCCTGTGGGACTGAAGGAGACAATCTTCTCACTGCAGAAATATAATGCCCTGAAAAAAAATCATAAAAGAAAGGATCTTATCAGAAAGTACCACTAATCAGCAGACTTGAAAATAAGGATTTAGGTAGCTTTACAAATTACAAGTTCTACACAGAGAAATCATACTCGTTTGCATGGAAAAGTGATCAATAGAAAGACTAAAACAAAAGAGAAGATCCTGAAATCAGTACTACTGAGCTTTCCATGGTAAAAGTGATGTGAAATTTACCGAATAACAGATGGCTCAAGTGGAGTGAAGCCAAGAGCCGGAGATTCTTTATTCTGATGAACATAGACAACATGCCTAGCCATCTCAAGATCACTATCCATATCTGCTCGATCCAGGATTAACCATAAAAGATCAAATCTTGACAAAAGGGCCGGTGGAAGATTAATGTTTTCAGCAGGAGTTCTACGTAGGTCATATCTCCCCCTTCAAGAATATATATAAAACAACTACAGTAAGAGTTTGCACAGATTTTACACAGAAGGTTGGCTGCCAGCAGTGGAAAAGGCACCACATAATTAGAGCAATATGATTTAGAAGAGAAGTGACAAGGAGTAATGCCCTATATGAACCAGATTAAAAATAAGTAGAAAGATTTTTACCATGCTGGATTAGCTGCAGCAAGAACAGCAGTTCTTGCATTCAAAGACGTAGTGATCCCAGCCTTAGCAATGCTAACAGTCTGCTGCTCCATAACTTCATGTATGGCTGTACGATCTAATTCATCCATCTTATCAAACTCATCAATAGCACATATTCCCATATCCGCTAGCACCTGAAATGAGTTAATACTTCAACAATTCAACACCCAGAAACACTAAAATAATAATCATATAGAAAGCCTAATAAAGAAATATAGGGAATCAGATCTAATTAGGGATTATAAAGTGAATTGGTTATGGATTGACTCCTGAAAACTGGCTAGGTTTTACTTTCCCTCTTCACTTTCTAGCTATTGCTTCTGCATCAAAGGCACACACTGGTATGATGCAATAAAAGTTTAACATTAAGAACTCTCGAGTGTTATGCATATATTCGGCAAGTATTTACTGGTTTGTAACCTTGTATGCTCTTCCACGCATATAACATGAAAAAATAAACATATATATATATATTATAACTGAACGGAGCATATGTATCTCACCAATGCTCCTCCTTCCAGGACCATTTCATTTGTGACGGGATCTTTCTGAACAGCAGCAGTTAGACCAACTCCACTGCTTCCTTTGCCAGTTGTATATACTCCCCTGGGTGCTACATTAATTATGTGTTTGAGAAGCTGGCTCTTTGCAACTCCAGGATCACCCATCAGACAAATATGTAAATCTCCTCTAATCTGCATTTTGAAGGAGAATGTATTATGACCTCTTGCGGTCCTATCATGCAAATGATAAAACATGCTATGACCAGTCTACTTTATCACAGACATGTATGAGCTTGGAATTATCCTAAAAATAGAACATTTGGCTTGGGAATCCCATCTATAAAGGAAGGAGACAAATTGCAGACTGAAACTCAATTTACATAACCATTAACCAGTGACCAGGACATGCAAGTGCCAGGTCAGAGCTGCAATATAGGCAAGGAAGAAGGGAGGACTGCTGATCTTTCACTTCAATGTAGAGCATACATCCAAATGAAATCCATAATCTTGTGAATAAAAATTCTCAGAAGGATAAGCAAAATTCAATTTAACAATATGTGTAATTGAGTCAGATGGCATCTGGTAACGGTGAGAACTTACTTTCATTCCATCTTTTAGTTTCCTGTGAGGAGCGCCCACTAGGAGCAGAAGCAGAGCCTTTTTGATATCTTCATGCCCGTATATTTCAGGTGCCAAAGATCGAGCCAGCTTTTCATATATGTTACCATCCTCAGCCAAACGTGCAATTTGTTCTTCCTCATCTCCTATAAGTTCATAACTGTGGCACAACTCAAGTTAGTACACAATACCTTTTTCACCTAAGAATTAAATAGGTTTATCAAAGTAGGTAAAACGAACAATAAGTTTAGCAAAAATTGTACTACAAGCACCAGATAAACTCTATCTTAAGATTTGAAAAGATGAGAACAATATATAGTACAAGATTTGTATGAAAAGTAATTTAGTCAATTACACAAATATAGATGATTTTGTCGACTGAGAACTGATAAACGAGATGCATAAACCAATGACAAAATTGTACTGAACATGGAATAGTGGCTTACTCTTCATATTTTTTCTTAGTATGTGTGATGGACATGGCTTCTAAGTAAGTATCAGCAACTAAGCCAGCCCGCATTGCTCTGAAACCAGTGTAAGGAATAGGAAGAAAAATCCCAGATAGTTTCACAACATCACCCGGAGCTACCTAACGGTGTTGAGGAAGAGGCACATGCAAATTCAAAGAAAATAGTTATAATCAGTTAAGTAGAAGCTGGATGTCATCACTTCCTGCAATCATGTGAAGCGGAAACCCCCCTGTCTACCCATTGCAAGGGATTCATTCAAAACTGTAAGTTTTAGTTTAAAATACTTTATGATAATTAACATAGAAGTATTCAACCTTTCTTGTGAGTTCACCCCGGAAGTGAACAGTCATTGTCCGTGGAATGTGGCCTTTTGGAACATCTTCAGCCAACTCTTGTATCTTTGCCTGAAATTGAACCACATCTAACTATATCACAGAAGAGGATGATAAACGCTACTGTTGAAAAAAATTAATGCAAAACCATATTCTAATACAGCTGTCCCCGTGTTATTAAATAACTGTGACTAAATCGCCATAACGTACCTCCTGAAATTTCAAGAACTTTGACGCCCTGAGTTGAAGAATAAGGTTCCCCTTTGTTCTATTTGTTATACAACGCCTGGATGGGCATTCAAAAAGTGGCATAAAGACTCGAGCAGTTACTTCCTGTTAGGCACAAAAAGAATTCATGAGTCAACAAAAGTGGCTTTAAAGAAACTAGGCATAAGTATAGGCGCAGTGGCATTGAATAAATTATACTCCAAAAGGGAGAGAAATAAGAAGGTTTGAAATATGTTGAGTATGTATGGGTTTGTAGCTAACAACAAATGTTTCAAAATACGATGAATACCCAAACTGTATTATGGCTTATTGGCAATCAAATGGCTGAACATAAGGATTGTGTCTAAGTACCTGGTAAATCTCAAAACCACATTCTTCACATGTATAGACAGCTACCTGCATCAATGGCTTAACATCTGAACACCGCGTCACAATACCTGATATCCTTACAAGCTGACCAATATGTGAAGCCTTGACCTCCCTAATTGCAAATGGCTTCGACTTTCCACTTGAAGATGCTCTTATGTAAACTTCACTAGAATACATATGAAAAAACACTAGTAAATTCAAACATCATAGAAAGCTTCACTACAAATGGAAGTTGAAGCATATGAAACTTATTAATAAACTACAACAGAAGACATGGAATAGATGTAAAAGTAAGTCACCAATATTAATCTGAGATAAACCTCTGTTGAACTTACATCGCACCAGCATATTTTCAAAAAATATACTGCAAACCAAACTAGCTAATACCTTTATGACAATCGACGTTCATTTACTAATGAGTCATGAATAACAAACTACTAAACACAAAAGTTAAACCGGAAACAGGA